CGAAGCACATGTCCGTGTGCAGGTCCAGCTGCAGCCACAGCTGGCACACAGCTGGAATGAAACCCAAGCGCATGTCAGTGTGCCAGTCCAGCTGCAGCCACAGCTGGCACACAGCTGGAATGAAACCAAGCACATGTCAGTGTGCTGGTCCACCTGCAGCCACATCTGGCACACAGCTGGAATGAAACCCAAGCACGTGTCAGTGTGCCGTCCAGCTGCAGCCACAGCTGGCACACAGCTGGAATGAAACCAAGCACAACTGTAGCCAAGGTCCCTTGCCAACGATTCAGGGGGTGTTTCTGCTTCACGTGTGGCAACCCTAAGAAATGGGAGAAAACACCAATGAAAAGGTAGACAGGCTTTTAATGGCATGATCGAGAATCCCCTGGAAATAACAAACCTAATGACAGCTGTGTTTGCTATGAACAAGAAACGGCGTCATCGTTTATTTGCTTCCAAGACGTGATCCGAAGTGACGACGGATGCCAGTGGGGCTGTCCACAGACGGGGCCTCTGTGATGCATGCCAGATTTGATGGCCAAGAACTTGCCATGCAGTCAAACCGGACTGTGGTTCCTCGGTCCGAGTCGTACATTCTGTCTGCAGTGTGTAAACATTCTCCAGCTGCTCTCCTAAAGAATGCAAAGAGGATACGTAGAGAGGTTCAGCCTTGGGACCTGGTCGCGCTTCCAGGCAGGCGGTTCCAAGGAGCAGAAGTCCTGTCTCCAAGACTTTGTCAGACCGTGCCAGAGGCAAAGAAAGACAACGTTGGTGCGCCAGGTACAATGTCTGAGTGTAGAGTCACATGCTAAAAGGAGATATACAAAATCATCTGCGTTTCCAGCTCCAGTTCCCACCCGGAGAAGCAGCAGCAGCCCAGGTCCCTTGGCACAGCAGTGTTGCTGACACTGGTTTCCCACTCTGTTGGACCTGGCCTTTACCTAAAGCCCTGTGTTCCGCAGAGCCCATTGCACCCATCACCTGCAGGCGATGGGCTGAGACTGGCTGGTGTCTCAGCAGCAAACATCAGCCCCTGCCTCCTCCAGAGACCCTGTGCCAGAGCATCCCCTGGGCAGCTCCATGCTGATGCCAGCCCAGCGGTACCCTTGCCAAAGAGACATCTCACCCCTGCATCCCTCTGCTCTGGGAGCTAAGAGGAGGAGTTCTCACCTTGGTCCCTACCAGGAACCCACCTCTGGATCTGCTGTGGTAGCTCCCTTTTGGCACAGAGGGCACCAATGCATGCTTCAAACCTGCTGTTCAGACATTTGCAGCTTCGAAATAAAAGGGAACGTTTCAGTTAAGCCAGAAAAAACCTCATCTGATACCAAACTCATTGTGTCCACATGGGACTTTTAGTGTGTTCTCAAGATTAAACTACAGTTGATTGATGTGCTGGAAAAGGCCTTTGGTGGGCATCGGTGCACATGGAATCGTGGTGGGATCGTGCAATACAGAGAAGAAAGAAGAGTGCTAAGGGACCATTGAGCTGCTACTGGAGCTGGTCAGGCTATCAACAGATCCTCGGGCATCTTCTTAACAGAGGATCTAACCTGAGCAAATACCTCTTGTTGGGAAGGAGAACCTTCAAAGCTTTTCTTGCCCCAACACATCTTACTTTGGATTGCAGTTTCACCAGCAAGGAAACCATGCTTGTGTTAACCAAGGGCAGCCACCAGACCCCGGTCCGTGACACACGGAGATGTGTGGCAGCCCAGCACCTACTGCAGCTCTGATGGCCACCATCCATGCGGGGTTGTTCTGCCTCCAGGCAAGGGGAGCCTCAAGGCTCACATGGATTTTGGCTGAGTGTTACCCTGTTCATCCACATGCACTGCCCACAGCAGTCAGTCCTGCACACGTCACAGGTCATGTAGCATCCGGGCGCTTCTTTAAAGGTAGCAGGATCCTTTACAACCCTTAGCCACTATCTAGAAAGGGCACTACTTATATTATATGGTTATAATAATATATATATTATAATATTCTTTACTTTGAAGGGCAGCCTCCTGCCCCTCACAGATTCCAAGCACAACTGACTCAGAGCTGTCTGCTGCTCAAACCCCTTTTGCACCAAGACAACCACAAGCGTTCGTGCTGCCAACCAGACTGATGGGTTAAGCATCTCCACCCGTGTGTTCAAGCCCCTACGTGGCATCAGTCTGACTGGTGCCATCGGTCCTTCTGCTCTCTCTGCTCATATCATCTGTTGTCACTCTGGCTCAGCACTGGGACCTGCCAGATTCACCACTTGGCATGCCTCCCTCCCTGTATCCTTGTTCCTTTGCAAGCATCTCCTGGCCATACAGCATCCTTTGACTCGTTTTTACAAGCCACCTTTTCAGCTGGCAGGTGGGACTTCGCAGACCCCAGCAAAGCAAAGGCTCTCAGCACAGCATTTGCTTTATCTCATGGTACCAAGCAGTCCCAAAGACACTTATGGTCCCAACACACATACGCTCTCCTGAATAAGTCCTGTCCCCACCACACAAATGCAGGCACAGTGGCAACCTGCTCCAGGAGTCCCCTCAAAACACACATGGGCACAACCACCGCCTGCAGCTTGCTAGGACAGACCTTGCAGCAGACACTGATGGGGAACCAGGCAGTGTCAGCCTGTTCCCAGAACTCCTGCTTCTCCTCCTGACTCCATCCTTCTGTATCCTTCCTCTCCATTCCCTCTGACTGCTCAGCTCCATCTTCTCTTTGATCTCTTTGCAGTGAAGCAAGGAAGCAGCCACATGCCAACAACAGATGCTGGGCCATGGAAAACTCTAAACTTCCTCTTGAACAAATACATTGATTGTGCTTTATTGGCCTCCCGTGCTAAGGCAGCTTGGCTAACACTGTGAATAGTCCTGTACCCTCTCCCCAAGCTCTTTCAAGGTTTGGCATGTGCATCCTCAGCATAAAAAGGACATGGAACTGCTGGAACAAGGCCAGAGGAGGGCCACGAGGATAATCAGGGGACTGGAGCACCTCCTGTATGAAGATAGACTGAGAAAGTTGGGGCTGTTCAGCCTGGGGAAGAGAAGGCTGCGTGGAGACCTCATAGCAGCCTTCCAGTGTCTGAAGGGGGCCTATAGGGATGCTGGGGAGGGACTCTTAACTAGGGACTGCAGTGATAGGACAAGGGGTAATGGGTTAGAACTTAAACAGGGGAAGTTTAGATTGGATATGAGGAGGAAATTCTTTCCTGTTAGGGTGATGAGGCACTGGAATGGGTTGCCCAGGGAGGCTGTGAATGCTCCATCCCTGGCAGTGTTCAGGGCCAGGTTGGATGAAGCCTTGGTTGAGATGGTTTAGTGTGAGGTGTCCCTGCCCATGGCAGGGGGTTGGAACTGGATCATCTTAAGGTCCTTTCCAACCCTAAGTGTTCTACGATTCTATCTAAACCTAGGTGGAGCTCCTGGTAAAGGCTTCACCTCCAAGTCTTGCCCTCTGAGCACTCCAAACTGAACAGTCCCCCAACAGACTAATGCAAATGCCAGCACAGTTTATATCTCTGGGAAGAATCTGTCTGTGCATTCATTCTGTTTCTAGTTTCTAAACACACAGGGCACATTTAGGTGGCGGTTCAACACCCCCTCCCAAGGCAAATTCATATGAAGTGCCACCAGAAGAAGTGGTCACCCTCTGTCCTCTCCTTGCCCCACTTCTGCTGTGTGACTAAATGCTCCCCATGCTTCTCTGCAAAGGTGAGGGCATGTCTGTAGAGCAGAAGCTGTGCTTCTTACCTGAACAACATCAGTGGAAAGAGTCAGCACTGAGCCAGATGAAATACATTCTTGGCATTGGCAACACTGAGATGGTCATGTAGAGGTAATTCCTAGACATTTCCCTATCCAGCTGTCCAAGGAGAACCCTGTTCTCCCAGCCACCCTGTCACAGCTCTCTTGCTCCTTTCCTTTCCCATAGATGTGAACAACTTCAGGATTTGACTGATGGTCAATGGCCATCAGTGTGACTGTTGCACTCGTGTTCAAATGAACCCAGGCTATAACTGCCCAGGTTACTCTAGCAAGCTTTTTGCCTGCAAACAGTGAATACTTGCAGCTAGTTGCAGATGTGGGAATGGGTGCATGGAGCAGCTGTGTGTTTTATTTAGGCATGACAATGATGTGAAGCCCCAAGTATTTGGGTCTGGAGCATTTCCCCCTATGAGGTGTGTGAAACTCTGATTGCTTTAAGATCTCATCATGCATCAGTCCTCCTGGCTGCACTTTCAAGCCTTCCTGATCAGTCTGGGGCTAAGAAGTTGGTTTAGTTCTAGCTGAGCGCTAAGCTTCTGCTCTGATGCTGCTGCTTGAGGAGCACAGCCCCTGCTTTTACCTTCACGTTGTCAGTTCTCACACGTGTGGAAGAGCTGAGCATAGGAAAGACACGAACCTCTGCAAGTGAACCCTCTGTCCCCTCAGGCAGAAAGGCGCAAGGTACCCATGTGCTGACAAACCTCTCCTCACAAAGCAGCAGCTCTGGAGTATAGGACAGGACAACCATTTCCCACCCTGCCACGTAAGTGCCAAGATTCACAAACACCGAGAGCGTGACAAGAAAGCACAAGGAATTCAGGTGCAAGGGGCACCCAAGCTAAAGGCATCCAGTGACTCTTCACATCTTCAGGCTGGAGCTGTGTTTGGTGGGCTATGGGTCTGTGGCACCAACCACATCCAGGTTGAGAGGAACCACCCATGGGTCTTCACAGATCACAGTCTGGTACTTGAGACAGAAGCGGCTGCAGGGTGCTCCCTTTACATCAGATAGCAAGTGCTCTTGATTTCCCAGCAAGCTGCCAATACATCCCTACTTCCATTTAAACACCCAGCACACTGGCATCTGCTGGAACAGCAGCGGTGCCACTGAGCAGCAATGCCACACAGCTTCCTCTGTGGGGACACACCGGAGCGGGTTGGAGCACCCAGCAAGACCTGCCTATATCCCATTCCCCCCTGCAGAGGCATCTCTGGCAAAGGAGAGAAGAGCTCCCTCTAGATACACAAGGATGCATCCATCCCTCCTGGCTAAGCTGGTGACCATCCCTTGCTAACACAGGTGAGCCAACGCTCAAGGTAGATAGTGGTGGCCAAGGCTGGGGTTTTCCCAGCGAGGAGAGAGGAGGGAGCTGCCTGCAGGAGGGGAGCTTCCTCTCCATCAGGCCTTGCTCTCCCCGCCTCCGCTCCTCTTTCTACAGCCATTGGCATTGGCAACTGGTATTGCTAACAGGGAGAGGGGCTGCGGGACAGGCACTGGGCAGGCTGCCTGGGTCACTGCTTGGTGCTGTGCGTTAGCAAGCGTGAGCTGCGGGCTGGGGTCTCCCTTGGAGAAGGCTCCGTGGCTCGGGGGCTCTCAGGCCTGTGGGGAGCTGATGGCGACGGTGTGGGGTGAGAGTGAGTGAAGCTTTGAAGAACAGCTACTGCTATACACTCGTGGGTCCAGCGTGGAAGGCTGTGCTGCAGCATCTCAAGTGTGGACTATATGCAGAAGTTACCCAGTCTGTTGGGCTGGCAGAAGATCATTATCTGGCAGCTGCCTTGCTTTCCAGGGACACCTGCTTTCCTTTGGTTGCTGGACTCTGAGTCTGGGTTTTTCCTCTCTGCCGTTTTTTGGCCACGCCAGGAGAGGGCAGGGAATCTCCCGTTGGCCCCAGGGCCTGAGCTGGGGGCTGGGGTCGGGGGGAAGGAGGAACTCGCTGAGGAGCTGCAGTCCCTGGCTTATGCTGCCGGCAGGGAGAAGGGCTTTCCCTCCCAGGGGGCAGCTGGCTCCTGGGGGAAGCGCTGGGGTTCCTGGGAGGAAGGACGGGGCTCCGAGGGGATGCGCAGCTGGACCTCCGCGAGCTGCTCCGTGCGGGAAGGGACGTGGAGCTCGGCGAAGGAGGGAGCCGGCTTTGTGTCTGCGCTGCTCGGCACTCGGTGGGGATGCTCCCAGCGGGTCTCTGTGCCTGAAGCCTGCAGGGGAAGAGAAGAGGCAGGATGAAGGGGAGGTTCTGAAGGGGGCTCCTGGCACATCTGACGTGAACCTTGCTGGGTTCACACGGAGTCTCTGGCACCAGGATGACAGGAGCTGTCACTGGTTTGAACTGCTGCTGTTAAGCAGTGTTTGCCCTGATCCTGCAGCACCCTCTGGGGTTACACACAGGCATGGTTTGGCTGATAGCGTAGATCTGGGACTCTTCTCAACATGCGGTATGCATGCAGCAGCCTCTTCTGAGACTGGAGACAGGATCTGGAAATGAGCTGCCTCAAACCAGCCCACAGGGATTCCCTCCTTTCACCTCATGTCCCTGAGAGAGCACAGTGTGCTGGCTGGGTGGCAGAGCCACGGCAGCAGCTCTGCTCCTGGGCTGCACCACCAGCCCCAAGGCCAGGCAGGAAAGCCAAACACGGGTGAATTCAGGTCTGCCTCCAGTTACAGCTCTGTGTTTGTCTGATAGAAGAGCCAGGTACCTCCAAAAAGCCTCAAGGCACAGGGATGTAGGGAATTCAGAGCATGTGGTGTTGGCCCATGCTGTGCAGAGCCCACCTCCTACCCAGCTCTTCACATGCTGGCCATCATCTGAGGCAATCCCAAGCGGCCACCCCGCAGCCCTTGTAGCTCTAATCACAGCAGCCAGGCCAGGTCTCCCTGCAGAGACCCAGCTGTACCCAGCATGCTGCAAACCTGCTCAGTGCTGTCAGCAGCATCAGACCACATGGAAGAGCCTGAGGAAGAGGAGGTGGACTCAAAGCCAGGGCAAGTGGAAACGAGCTCATCCCTTTGGCCAAACCGAGCTGGAGAAGACAAAGGGGTGGGAATTTCACCCACCATGAGCTGAAATGACTGCAGGAAACAGGGATGGGCCACGCGCTCAAGCCGAGGGAAGGCTAAAGCAGCAGGAGAGGAGCAGAGTCCTGGCTGCACCTCCTTAACCAGTCCAACATTTCACATTGCTCACTGTTCTGGTCTTACCTGTGGGCAACAGCAGCATCCTGCAGGGAGCTGCACAGTGCCGCTGTTGCGGCAGCCATGGCGCTCTCAGCCTTGGCTGCCTCCAGCAGTGCTTTCACCGGGGTGATGGGCCGAGGAATCCTGCTCTTTGTGCTTGTGGCTCTCTCTTCTTTCCCCAGGAGGGCCGCCCTCTCCTTCCCCGCCTTCCTTGGGATGGAGTCATCCGAGTCATGGGTGTCCTCCTCGGAGCCAGTGGCCGAGAGCGTTTCTGAAGCCCGGCGCCGCTCGTCGCTGGAGGATGCTGAGGAGGAGGCCCCCGAGGCCAGGCGGAGGAGCCGGCTCTGCCTCTTCTCCATCACCAGGCGAGCCAGGTCAGGGTGCTTTGCTCTCTTATAAAGCCTCTCTTTGGCTGAGAGTGAAGTTGAGAGGTCTGAGCCAGTGTCCTCCTCCGAGAACAAGATGGGTATCCGGCTCCTGTACCTGGAGCCCAGAGGTCTCCGGGGCCCCTGATGCGGGGCGTCAAGGATGCTCTCTGCTCGCTTAAGGGGCTCTGCCACCGCTGCTGACTTCTCCAGGTCAGGCTCCCTTGTACCCACCTTGCCAGGCTCTTCCACATCCACCGGGAGCACTGCTTTGTCAGAGAGCTCCGGCTTGTCCTCGGGAGGCTTTGCTACACTGGGAAGGACCAACTGCTCCCCCACTGTCTCTGAGGCGGTTTCAATGGGGTTAGCGGAGAGCGCGCAGCTCTCCGTCTCTGCCCCTTCCAGCCCCGAATGGATGCTCCCGTTCTCTACCAGCACCAGGTTGTCCTCCAGCTCTTCCTCGATGATGACCTCCTCAAACTGGCCCGGAGGGCAGTACTCCTCATGCCTCATCAGCTGGCCGCTGGAAGACATGACATTGAGGTGGGTCTTCTCGGCGATGTGAACAAACGTGCGCTCTACTTTGGTAAAGGGGGAGGAAGCTGTAGCCACTGCCACGGGGGGCTTTGGTTCCGATTTAAGGACTGAGGACAGGGTCCCTGGCTCAGATACATCCAGCTGGCTCCCCATAGGCTGTGGCCGCTCGCTCTGAGGTGTCAGTGCAGCAAGAGTGCCCAGATCAACTTCTGGAGGCAAGTCTGTGGTCACCGGCGATTTCTTCAGGTCGCCTGGTGAAAACAGCACGAGTGTTTTTGAGCCTTCCTCCAGCTCCAGGTCCCCGTCAGCAGTGGATGCTCGACCCCGGGATCCCTTCTGGTCATCAGCCAGGAGCGTGGATGGGGCACACTCCTGGCTGCGCTCCGTGCTTTTCTGACTCAGGTCACTGCTGGAACCGCTGTGCATGTCAATCTCATCCCCTTCCTCTTCCACCTCCTCCTCATCTTCCTCCTCCTCGTCTTCTTCCTCCTCATCTTCCTCTTCCTCCTCTTTTCCATTAATTTCCAGATAAGGTTCCAGAGGTTTGCAAGGAGCAGTCAGGACAATGTTGGAGAAATCAACTCTCTTTATCCGCTGGGACACCTTAGGCTTTTCCCAGTAGTTGCACACATCTTTTCTGAAGTCTTGGTAAGGCAAACTTAAAGGCACCGCCTTGGGCAGACCATTCATTTCAAAGGACTTCAGCATAAGGGCCTGCAAGAAGAGAGATGTGACAAAAGGGTCAGTATTGAGACATGACATCGACGCAGACGACATCAGGATCGATAGCAGTGGGAAGCATCAGTGGAAAGCATCAAGTCCATCGAGCTTCCAGAATACAAGCCTGAACAGTGATTGCTTGATCATTTGATTTGTGTAAACCTTAGAGGGACTCATAGACAGTTACCAATGAAGGCAAAAACATGTGCCTTCTTTGCTAAGCTGCAGCCTTCAACCTGGACCTAAAAGAGCTGTTTGCAAGCAATTCCTCGTGATTTCTTCACGCTTCCCAATCATCTTCAGTATTTATATATTGATTTCAGTATTAAGCATATTTGGGTTGGAAAGCACCTTAAAAATCATCTAGTTCCATGTATATATATTCACATCTTCACTCGTTCCTTACTGCAACCATTCAGCAACCATCTTTTATACTCAGGCCACAGTGAGCTCAAGGGGCCTCTCTGATTTCCCGATCACTTTCCAGTTACCATCCACCGCTGTGGAATCTTTGTAGAGCTCCCGTGTTCCCTGCTGTGCTCTTTCACTCCAGCAACTCCTAATCCTGCCTCCTGCAGGCTCCTGCTTTCACTCAACTGCTCAGCAAGTCATGGGACACAAAGGACCATTATGAGACTCTGGGGTGCCCAAGCATGAAGAGCAGTGGGAGGAGAGGGCAGCTGGTGTGGAGAGAGGCTGCCTGTAAGGCACCAGAACGGGCTGTGAAATGATGGCAGGTAACAGGAGCAGGAAAGCTGCAGCTCACACACACGTGCACACACTTCACCAACAAAACGGGCAGAATAAACTGGAAATGGCCATCAAAGTTTGGCCTAATTAACAAGTGGTTGTAAATGAAAAACCACAGCAGCACCGCTCTGCAAAATGGGTTTAAAGAAAGCCATTTAGGTCCAGCAAGAGGGCTGGAAAACAAAAGCCTCCCCATGAACTCAACCACTCAATGAAGCATCACGGTACCCTTGAAAAGTCCTAATCATGAAGAGAATTGCTCCAAACATCTGCATTTTCAAGCAGCATTTGACAGTGTCAGAGGGCATTTAGGCTACATGGCTAAACAAGCACTCATTTAACTGTGTGGGGTACAGAGCAGCCAACAGCTAGCACGTCCCTCTGGTGATGGGAACGTGTCTTTTTGTCTCTGGGGGGTAAAAAAGCCCTCAACAGCTTTTTAGTCCAATGATAGGACTTCAAAGTGTGCTGAGGATCTCCATGTTAACCTGTGCAGAGCAGCTGCCTAAGAAAGTGTAAGCACTCTATGCTCATGTATAAAGAGGGACGTTTCAAATAGATGGGTGGGCAGCATCAGGCTGTTAGGCATGGGGATAAGGTGTCATCTATTTAGTATTTCTTTTTGTATCTTAAATTTGGAACACAGGCTGATGTTAGTAATGCCTCTGGAGTCCAAAGCTGCTTCTCTTCTTTACTTAAAGCTGAAGCTTAGCCCTGAAGTTGGCCCTGTATTAGCCTGATTTGGGCTCTCACTGACCCACTCCACCTTTTGTATCAGGATGCCAGACGTGGAATTCAGACTGGTAAGATACTAACCACCATTTGGAAAGGAAATTCCACATCTGGCTTCCTCCCTCAGGCATTTATTGGAAATGAGCCCATGCAGCAGCCCAAGATCGGATTCTGCCTGCTGGCTGGATTTGGTTTTCCCCCAAAATACACACACAGTGGTATCCCTCGAGTCCTGATCACACAGATGTGTTCCCCCAGTGGGACCAGGACCTGATAAAGAAGCCCTCACCAACACCTGAGCCTCCCCCTGGAAAGAATACCCCATCCCTAACTACTTCACCCTGTCTTCTAGATGCTGTGGTTGATGGTATGGTTGGAGGATCACTGGTTCCTCTTTGCCTGTGTAAACCTGCAGATCCCCTCTCAGGTCTTAGGAGCTTGTGCCATCTCACCTGCTTTCTGGTCAAGGAGAACTGAATCCAGTCCTGCAGTGTACATCCTAGACAGGCCAGAGATATGGTTTCCATGCCCTGCAGTCTGTCCCACCAGCAGCCCTGCCTCCAGCAACCACTCTTTCCCTTGCAGGACATCACAAGTTCTTCTGATAAGACTGCATTAAGCTGGATGACACCGAGCAGGACAGCATGACATTGTGTAATAGAAATAATGGTTCTCCTGCTGCTCTGGTCCCCCTTTGCTGTTGCTGAGTCATAGGATCATAGAATAGTTAGGGTTGGAAGGGACCTTGAGATCATCCAGTTCCAATCCCCCTGCCATGGGCAGGGACACCTCACACTAAACCATGTCACCCAAGGCTCTGTCCAACCTGGCCTTGAAAACCGCCAGGGATGGAGCATTCACAACTTCCTTGGCAACCCATTCCAGTGCCTCACCACCCTTACAGTCAGCCTGTAATACCTTCCTAACCTCATGTACTTCCACCTCTGGCTGTACAAACTCATTGTGTTCTTTAGCAAATGGACTGCCTTTCTGCCTGTCATTTCATTTCTCACGTGTCTTTTCCATTTCCCTTCATGGACACTGCACCCTAAGCACAACAGTGATCGCTTGGCTTCCACCTACCTTTGTGAGACTTGGACTGCTTAACCTGTTGCGTGCAGTACCCCAGAGCTGCCAGACACCATTCCTTAAAGCTGTTGTTTTGCCACTGTAAAGGCATCGTGGAGAAAACGCAAAGAGCACAAATATGCCAAAAATGTGGAGCACTGAAGTTACCTCCAAACCCAATGGAAAAAAAAGGATACAGTTGATATGTCTCCTGGGTCAAATATTATTTTAACACATGATTTCTTACCTTGCATTCCTATCATCACCTGAAGCTGTTAACAAGCAACACTGTCCTAGGGCATCAAAGCTGTCACTGTTACTGTGATCAGCAGCTAGCTGCAGGCGGGCATCCTGCTGGACAAGCTGTTCCCTGTTGGAAGCCCTCACTAGAGAAGCTTGTGTCCTGTCTTCACCGCCATCGTGTATCTTTTGTACCACAGCACACCCAGCTGCTTTAGGGCTATTCCCAAAGGCTGGAGAACGCTGATGCTCTGCTGTACCAATGGGAAGGAACAGGGGTTCAGGAGCGGAAAGGCTTAGCCTGTGGCTTAAAACTGCAGAATATCAAAGGTGTAAGGAATTTCTGGAGGTCTCTGCTCCAACCACCCCTCAAAGCAAGACCAACTTAAAGCTGGCTGCTCTGGGCCCTGTCGGGCTCAGTTTTGAGTGTCTTCAGGGCTAGAGAAGAATCCTGAGCCTCCATACTGTTTCCAGGAGGAAAAAAAGGGACTCGTACACTGTAGGACCTGGAAAGTCAGAGACCACAGCCAGATCCTTGCTCACCTGCCTGCACAAACTGCTCTCTGCCGTTGAGGAGTTGGGGTCTTGTGCATCTTCTGCAAGGGGGAAAGTTCGCACCAGCCTCTCCACAGGTACTGGAGCCTTTACATGCACCTACTGCCTGCAGCTCCCCTCTCAGCCACTTGCAGGAAAGCACTGAATTCCTAATTGTGCACCTCGCACCAAACCAGAGTCCATTGCCATATTTCATAGAATCACAGAATCCCAGACTGGTTTGGGTTGGAAGGGTCTTAAAGCTCATCCAGTTCCAACCCCTGCCATGGGCAGGGACACCTTCTACTAGACCAGGTTGCTCCAAGCCCCTGTGTCCAACCTGGCCTTGAACACTGCCAGGGATGGGGCGTTTCCTCTTCCAACCTGATCCCAGACAGATCAACAGCAACTGGGGCTGAGCCACATGCTGCTCTGCAGCAGGGACTGCTTTCAAAGCAGAGTGCTGATGACAGGTGAGCGCGGTCGCATCCCTGAGCAGCTCAGGCAGGACATGACTTGCAGGACAGCCACGATTCTGCATTGCCTCCCTGAGGGTTTGGGGGTGGGAGGGCTGGAAGTTTACCAGATGCTCCTGGACACCTTGTTGAATGTCCGATGGGAGGCAGCCATCCATCCACCCACCCTGTGCTGCCAGCCAGGGGAAGATGCGCAGCACAGGAAACCAAGAGACACGTGATGAGTTGTTTGTGCTGTGTCTGTAGCTGTTGGATTGTACCAGCTTACATTCAGCCAGTTTGGATGCTGGCAACCATCAAGGTGGAGCTGTAAAAACTCCCATAAGTTGGATTTAATTAAACAGCTGCACTGTGACTGGGTTCCGGTCAGGCAAACTGGTACTAGCCTAAACTAATGTATATTGCTCTCCCAGCGTGGCCTTCCCAAAGTGGGAACACATCTCCAGGAGTCCAGACCTTTGTTTCTATTCCCAGATCAGTCTTAACAGCAAGTTTTTAGCAATCACATCAGTAAATGATAATGAAATCCTCACTGTTCTACCAGAGCTCCTTCATCTCCCTGCCCACTGCCCCTATATTCCTAAGGACGAGCAGGGAATGCCTCCCAGAGCTGGAAAACAACGGGAACACAAAAACGAAGCCAGCAAGCAAACAAACAACCCAGCCATCACCAGGGTGCTGCCTTTGATTCTTTAATAAGGTTTTGGTAGTATACAAGCTTTTTTGTTTTCTTTCCTTTCTTTTCCGATTGTCTGGATTAACATACATGGATTTAAAAAAGGCACAAAATCCATTGCACAGCTTCTGTTTTGTTGGTTTTTGATGACATTGCCTGTTCCTTGTGGTTTCAAGTGTAGGATTTTACAGTACTCTGCAGCATTTACAGCATGGTCTACATACAGGTAATCAATGCATGCTTTTATACAGGAGACAGAATTCCGATTCTCTCTCGGTATGTCTATATACACAATAATACAGTGGTTTTCTTCTGAAAAAAAGCTTTAAACTGGTCTTGCATGCTCGGTGTGCCAGAAGAATTAGTGCAAGCATATCTTACAGTGTTATTGCAGTACAAAAAGGGGCCGACCTTAGGCTCTAAAGGGCTTAGATACAGGAAGAATAAAAAGACCCAAGGAAAACAAGCTTTGGATCCCTTCAGTCAACTACGTCCTCCCAAGTGGATCCCTGCTCAGT